CGATAACCAGACCCTGATTCTAGATGCTCTCGCGTAATTGAAGATGAAAAGAGCAATCACTGTGTGTTGGAACTTACCTGTCGTATACTGCCAGAAGACATGTTGCATGTGTTGAGATGTCAGTACGCAGTATTGATACCATGTTTCATTGCGGCGTGGTTGGCCAATCTCTCTTCTACCATGTTTGCGAAGAGACGAGAGAGCACGTTCCCGATGCTGACGGCTGCTTACAACAAGCTAGGGAGCCCTGTCGCAGGTGGGCGTATTTTGGCATGCATTCGACCTGTGCCGCAGCAACGCAACTAGATGATCGCGCAGCACGCAATTAGGAGCTGCGGAACGTTGAGATGGGTGGAAGCAGGCAAGGGGCTCAGTCAACGCTCGCTGATCTTTTGGATCCCATCCAGCGGACGGCCACGCGACAACCACATGGACGATCGGCTTGGTGCGCTGTTTGGCGTTTCTAGGCATGACATCGTGTGCGCCATCCAGGTGTTTGGATTCGTAGGCTATTCGCCGGGGGCAGCGCAACGATTACAAACTGCCTGCGGTATCGCCGTGGGCCACGTGCGGGTAGTCCAGAAGTCAATGCAAATGCCGTGCCCAGATGTCGCTTGTTAACGGTAGCCCGGGTTCAGAGACCGTCGCAAGTAGCCTCAGACCAGTGCTGTCGCTATCCATGGTGCAGGGTGGTGCAGGGTGCTTGACGCTGCCATACAAGAACCAGCAGCTTCCATTGTTCCGCTCGCGCCATGGGCGTTGGACGGCACTGGCGAATTACAGGAGGCCAGTGCTCCATTTATCCGATGCAGCCATCTGGGCTCTCGTCAGCTTTATCCCAGTAGTGGACAGCGGGATTTCCAGAGAGCACCAGAGTGCGCGATGCCTGGCGAGCGGGGCGGCCTATGTGAGTCCGGCCGACTCTAGCGCTGCCAAGCCACCCCACAAAACCCCCGGATGATGGGCATGGCGGGGAAGAGTCCGCTGTTTGATGCGCGCTGTGTTGAAAACTCAACACCAGACCTTAAGGATCGTGTGAGATTTGGGCGCTGTGACACGACGTGACTATAATTACTGAGCGAAGCTCAGCGAAAAGCTTCGTCCTGCCGGCTGAAGAGAAACACCCTGTCGCCCAATCCTTATCCGCGGCTCCATGCGTGAGGGCGTTGTGCCAAGGTCTTGGTGGGCGTTTTTACGAGGCTTCGAATGGCCTCGTCGGCGGTGCCCAGAGATGCCATTTAACGCAAGTCCCGGTCGTTCTGGAACGCAGCAAGTTCCCAATACATGCGCTTGGTCCGGAGCGAGGAGGGGCTCTGCCTAAAGGACGATATGGTGGAATAATTGCTTTCGTAGGGGCCGCAGTGGCATCGGTCCGCACTCCTAGGATAGGGATTGCAGTTGGGAGGCTGAAACCCAATCTACGGATACGCGCTTCGTTTGGATCCGCTGAGTAGACGTGCAAGGTGATCGGTGAAGCGCGAGAGAGGGTAAACTTCCGCAGCGAGTCGGTTGGTGACAGATTTGACAAGCCAGAGGCAACGTGGTACTGCAGCCGATAGCGCCAAGCGAAGGCGCGTCAAGATATCGCGTCTTCGCCCTCTTCGGCGCTGTTACCACCGCCACGCTCGGACGCAGCAGCAGACGGGCTAAGTCAGATCCACAATCTTGTCCCATCCAACCGCCCCATGGGGTCCCGGGTTGCGCTAGGTTAGCTGGTCATATCAACCCTAGCAGGGTCCGTCTCGTTTCGAGCGACACACCCACGGCGTTCGCGAGCCTGAGTACATATAGAGACACTTGGCTGCCCCTCCTGCGAACGTTTCCTCAGACTCTTGTACTCCAGTCCACCCTCAGGCACCAATCATCATGGCAGCCGTACAGCAACACTCCAGCCTCGAGGTCCACGAGGCCAACGAGAAGGGCCAGCACATCTACGCCAACGACATTGACAGCTCTCGGATCAGCACACCTGGAGATGTCGATGACCTGCCCGACCCAGACGCAGGCAAATCTGATGCCGAACGCGCCGCGCTTGTACGACACGCTCCGATTTCTTCGTCCCGTAACTCGCTGACTTCTCGTAGGACAAAGCATTGGTCTGGAAGATGGACAAGTGGCTCATCCCGTGGCTGTCGCTGTTGTATCTGCTGTCCTTCTTGGACCGGACCAACATCGGCAATGCTCGTGTCGCGAATATGGAAGAGGAGATCGGAATTGATCCTAAAGGCCGCGGCTACAACGACGCGTTGACTATTTTCTTCATCTCTTACGCCGGCTTCGAGCCGCTGACAAACATCGCCATCAAGAAATGGTCCCCTCGTGTCTTTTTCACGGCTATCATCCTTGCCTGGGGTACCATTATGACACTCATGGGTCTTGTTCAGAACAAAGCGGGCCTTCTCGCATGCCGCTGGTTTCTGGGTATTGCCGAGGCTGGCCTTTTCCCAGGTGTCAACTATTACCTTTCGTAAGTTGCACCCTGCTTCTCGAACGGACGTCCGTCACTGACAATATTCAAGCTGCTGGTACAAACGTCAGGAACTTGGTTTCCGTGCTGCTTTGTTCTTCTCCGCAGCCGCGCTTGCTGGTTCTTTCGGCGGTCTCTTGGCTGCCGCTATCACCCAGATGGATGGTGCAGGTGGTTACTCCGGTTGGCGATGGATTTGTATGTCTTCACGATCCAGACATATGATGCAAGCTAACATGCGCAGTCATTATTGAGGGTCTGATGACTGTCTTCGTCGGCATCTTCTGCTGGTGGATGGTTTTCGACTTCCCGGACACGGCCCGATTCCTCACAGCCGACGAGAAGCTACGAGCCCAGCGTCGCCTCAAGGCCGATGGACAAGCCCGTGCGAAGGTTGGAGGCATCGACCGCCGACACGTGATGGCTGCCCTTCGTGACTGGAAAACTTGGGGATATGCCGTCATCTACATGGGCTGCCTGTGCCCTTTGTACGTTTTCTCGCTCTTCCTCCCTACGATTCTACTCGGTATGGGCCACAAAGGTACCAAGGCTCAGCTCCTGTCCGTCCCTCCTTACGCTGCCGCTGCCGCCCTAACGGTGTTTATCGGATGGATCGCCGACAAGACCAAGAAGCGTGGTATCTGCAACCTCATCGTCTCGGCGATTGGATGCGTTGGATTCGCCATGTTACTTGCCACCACGAACGCGAAAGTCCAGTACGCTGCCACATTCTTCGGTGCCATGGGTATCTACCCCACAGTCTCCAACACGTTGACTTGGGCCTCCAACAACGTCGAGGGTTCATTGAAGCGCGGTGTTATGGTTGGTGTCGTCGTCGGATGGGGTAACATGAACGGTGTCGTCTCGTCCAACATCTACATGAGCAAGGAGAAGCCGCACTACCGTACCGGCCACGGCATCGTGCTCGCCTACATGTTCTTGTTCCTATTCGGTGGAACTCTCTTCATGCACATTGCGCTCAAGCGCGAGAACAAGCTCAGGAAGGCGGGCAAGCGCGACCAATGGGTACAGGGGAAGACCGAGGAGGAGATTGAGGATATGGGTGATGTGCGGCCCGACTTCTACTACACCACATAAGCGTTGATGGTGGCATCGTGTACTCGTTTGTTCGATATCCGTCTGCGCGTTCGGTAGTATAGCAGTTCTTCCAAAACTCTAGCCCAGGAGAATGGGTCAGTTTCCAAATCAGTCTTGCTTGCAAAGGGAATAGTGAGGCTAGTGATCCAACACCTTGCGCGATGGTCATGTGAGAACCATACTTACTCTTCTCCGGGGGAGGCTTTTCGGTCCCGTAAACAAAGCGCTCATGCGTTGGTGAAGTCTTGGTGTTGAGACTTGTCGCGTCGACCTCGGGAATTCCATTGGAACGTGCAGCCACACATTAGCCGCACCCACTCTGCCGCTCGTCCGAATTGCCATCGATCATCGATCGCGCAGAACTTCGATCTGGAAAAACACGCTTCGGTGGGGTCCATTTGCACGATTTCGCAGGAATGCGCCTCGAAATGCATGGAGTCGAAGAGCTGTGGCATTATCACTGCTGTTGCGAGGTTCGTGGGAAGGAACGCGATGACGTCATCTGGTTCCTGTGAGGAAAGCGCGTTCTAGCGCTCGACACCAGCAGTTTCCCTTCACTGATAGACCTCCTCTTTAGCGATCCCTTCAGAGTCTCTCTTCAGGCACCTCCCTATACGTCTTGAATTCTCACATTAGATCCTGCTCTTTCGAAGCAGCTCATTTCATCATTCCCTCACAGAAACCATGTCCACACCAGCACATCCGGTGAATGCGTCGCTTTCGACTTTTAACCTAACAGTACAAGATACCGCAATTCGCTATATGTATTTCGGACGTTTCAGAACTAATGAAAATAAGGGAGTGAAGATAGACGAAGAGATGCGCGCGCGGGTAACGAGCACGACGACCATCATATACGCTGGGTTCGCCCCACAATTATACGCCATCTCGAGCTCTCTCGTTTTACACCAGGAAACCCAAGCCCGTGGCACATCTCAAAGCATCGGCCTTGCAGGAAATGGTTTGCTTGCCTTGCAGGATGCACTGGTAGAAGACCGCCAAGGCATTCCACGGAGCCGCTTCCGGCTTATATCCGCGGATGAGTATTTCCAAGGGAGCTCAGCGCCTGGAGACGACCTCACCGAGGATGATACGTTTCCGCTTAACCCAACGTGCCAACATCTCTCGGTTATGCCCGACTACAGCACGTTCCTCCTAGCAACGATTGGGAAGTCAGAGAAGGCTAGCGCTTTGGAAGTTGTCTGCGCGTACTTGTCAGTGCTTCGTTGCTTTCCTAAGACATCACAAACTGATCAGACGACCTTTCACAGGTTCAAATAACCGGATTCGATCATTTTTAGATGGCAGAATGTGCAACATATTCGGTAAAGACAGAGCAAACTCGCACTGAGTCGCAGGAGCCAAGGAGAAGACGCTCGAACCAAGACTAGGACGCCGCACAGGCATCTCCGGAAATACCAATACCCCGGCTACCTCATTTGGTCTCCAAGCCGAAGTCCTTCGCCGTGAAATCGCTCTTGCAAGTGAAGACGCGACGGCCTACTGAACGGCTACCACAGCTGGCGCAATCGTAATCGTCCGAGGTATCAGGCGTACACACGCCCTGAGAGCCACTGCCATCCGCGGCCTCCATGTCGAACCCTTTGTCCTCTGCTCGGATTGTTAGCTTGGGACATGGTGGTAAACCGACGAGTTCTCACCATAGATAGTCCAGTGCATAACGCCCTCTACATGTACTTCGAGTTCCGTAATCAGAGCATCCGGATAATAAGAGCAGCCACCTGCTGGGTCTAAGTGCAAATGTGCGAAGTCAGTTTTTGTATCACATACAGCTCTTACGGAGACAATTACCATTACCCTCACAACGAACGCCACCGTCACTTGCGTCGTCCGTTCCACCGAGGTTGGATGTGTCACAGATAGCGTTGCAGTCCGGGGGGCCATCGAAGAACTTCCACCCCAACTAGAGCTGCGTTAGTAGAACTCTGGTTCCAAGAACAATACACGTCTTACGTAAAGTTCACCCGTAAAGTTGCTGTCTTCGAACGTGTAGATCAAGAAGTCTGCAGTGGCGACACCGACAAAACCGGCGAGGAACGGAAGGAATAGATGCATCTCGAAAACACGTCGAATGTGTGCTTTTTGAAAGATGCTGAAGACTTGCGATGGAGTTGGGAGTGAGGATGGCTCAGTCTCACACTTTATACACTAAGCTGTGCCTTGAGGGACTCCATACCTCTCATCTCCAGACGTCTTTTGCCCAGAAGTGCCAATTCCCTCACGAACAGGTTCGTGAAAAATCATGGCCGACGACTGGTAGTGTTTAAGATACAGTCAGCGCGTACAAGCAGTACCATGCAACAAGGCGAACCTCGCTTCTCATCTCGACGACGATACATTCCAACGACGGTGAACAGCGACGCGCTTACAGTCGGGCAACGAGTACTCTACAGCAAGGCGTAATTTTACATGCCTTCATCGACGATACACGACGTAACGGTTAAACCAAAATGCGCTCATAACAGTGAAGGATCTTTGGGGCGGTACGGATGCGGACTTGAAGTCATAATAACCGGCCGGGCCAAGAACTTCATCGACATAGCCAAGCTGTTAAAATAGAACAATGCTTACGTATATGGGATAAATCGCGCTACACTAGTCACCCCAGCTCCATGAGGACCATCATCAACTGGACTCTATCACTACTGAGATTGCACATCATCCATTAACTATGGGGTCCTCTTGGGACTATTGAAGATAAACGAAACTTCACCACCTGTGGCAGACTGGCAGGAAAGTCCATCAGCACTTCGGTAGATCGTGAGTGTTGTGAGACCAAATTCGCGTGTAGCAGGAGCATATGACTGTTGCTACATTACTATCGATCACAGTGTGTCACCTTCAACATATAAGCGAGCAATCAGAAACCAGCCCTCAGTGCTACGGCACAGCACTTGGCCATAGGGGATGACTAGCTTGGCAACATGGAACTCTGAGCTTGGCTACGTCAAGAGGTGAAGCTGAGTGCTTGTGGGTGATCTGCAACTTTTGATCCCCGAGAATAGAGTGCGCTGCCTTGAGGCCAAGCATCTTCCCGTAGGCGCAATGACGCAGTGCGCGGCATGTTAAATGTGCCAAAGTTCTCGTGTGTCAAGCAATGCACAGCAACTCAGAGTTCATAGTATTATTAGACTAACGAGGTTTCATAGCAACATGCCTCCGATTACACCAGCAGCGATGCTAAGAAGACCACCACCACCAACCACACTCTTAGCATTGGCAGCGCCAGTAGCATCTGCCGCAGCGGCACTGGCAGTTTGGCTCACACTTCCAGAATTCGCTGCAACACCTGTGCTAGCACTCATCTCTTCCACAAATCCAGACATCGGATGTGATTTGTACAAAGTAGCGGTGGATGTCGCAGCGTCAGTGGTAGTAGCTTCCGTGGCCTGGCTGAGTTTCTCTACACCAGCCGTGATCACCAATTCAAACGTGCCTACAGCTGAGCCACTGTATGGCTCTGTGCTGCTGCCGGGAAAGTTTGCCTCGGTTCCACCAGCCGTCTCTTTGCATATCGCGCTTTCGGGCATGATCACGCAGTCCATTGTAGCGGTAAAGTCGGACTCCGGGCTTGGGTCTCCCATGTTGAGATTCCAAGTCGAAGGACCGAAGACGAGGGTTTCGGCTGGAAAGAGACCACAGTCGATGGAGGTAGCGCAGGCGAGTGCAAGAGTCGTAGCGGTGGGATTCGCGGTGACAACGGAGCCGACCATGTTCGGCAAGACTGAGCCTTCGAAGATGTCGCCGATCCATGGGACTGACATAGTTGCTGGGATGTCTTGTTGCGCAGCAACTAGGCCGATGATGGAGACGAGGATGAACTTTGAAGCCATGGTGACTGGATCGATCTTGTGAAGAGTACGAAGTTTGAAAGAGTGAAGTTGTCGATGAGACACAGAATTTGTAACGAGTGACTGTACGAAGAACGAGCGACAATGAGCGATACCTACAATTTGTCTACAGCGAAACTTCTTATGTATAGAATTTTCGCGTCGCGAGGCCCTCCATACTATCGTGAATCAAGCTCTTGTGGCGTTCAATAGGGGCGGCTGGCGCCTGATCTTTAGCGACCTCGGTATCTCGCAAGTTCCCGCTCCCGCGGAGGCTCAACGCTTTTTTTATACCGACACAAAGGCGAGGCTCTATAGAAAGCTATGCTGTGGATCGTTTTATACCGCTGCGGCTCGCTGGCTATCCAAAGGCAAACATAGGCCGTAGACGCGCCTTCGTTGTGCTTATTGACACTTCGGTAGTCGTGCGATGCATCTGTAACCGAGGGGGCTCGTGCGCAATTATTCGACATGTTCTTTCGGAATCTGGCCCGCTTGTTCCAGCAAGTTGTCCCACCATGTAAAGTACGGCTCGTAGCCTCCACCGCCTCGTGCATGATGGAGGCTGTGCTTTCTTGCTCCGCCTCCCCAACCCTTGGGCAGTATCTTGTCATAACCCCACGGTAGATCCAGCCCCGAATGCAGCTCGACTAATAGCCATACGAATATGGGTACAAACAAAGTCCGCGTGAAGACATGGCTCTTTATGATGTTGAGGCTGAAGTTGGCCAGCAGCACCAGGCCCAGTCGCTCGAGAATGTGCAACTGGTTGGTAATCTGGGGGTGTATCTCGGCGTGTCGATGGTGCGGTGCGTGCCATCGCTTGACCACGGGTATGACGTGAAGCGAGTAGTGGAAGAGGAAGAAGAGCGCATCGTAGAGGAAAAAGCTCGTCGCGAGCTCGAGGGCGATTCGGCGGCTCGTAGGAGGAAGGTCGGGAAGAGCGCGTTGCGTTTGCAGCGGCGAAGACATCGTCATGTTGTGCAGTGTTGGCACCAGAAACGTGCTGTGATACGCCGCAGTGGAGTTGTTTGCTGCGATTGCTGCCGCGGCCGCGTGGTAATTGCCCGACTCTAGCATTGCAGTAAGCGGAACATCGGCAAACTTCTTGATCATGGTCAGATCCATGAGCAGCAGCGGCGTCATGTAGGTGACAGCCTCGCCCCATCGTCGCGAAGGGCGTCGCATCCCATGTGGCTTCCTAGCTGCATCTCCCTCTTTCGTATCCTGCTGAACTGCAAATCTCCATTGCGGGTTTCGCATGAACACAACCGTCATAGACACCTCGATTACTGCGTAAAGAAGGACTGTCCATATCGTCTCAAAAGTCGACAAACGATACAGAGGGTTCCGTATCAGCCATTGCCACAGGTGTGTGAGAAGAGGCTGGTATAGGTCTGGGAAGGCAACGGAAGAGAGAAACAGGGTTCCTAGAGCAGCTCGATACATTGAAACCATGATTGTATGTGGTAACGAGTGAAGAGAAGTTCATAGTATACTGAATCGCATCCATTTGCCTTCCTTTGGCGCTTTCTGGGCATTCATGACTCTTGACGTCATCCGATCGGAACGGTTCCGAAGGCATTCTATCTCGAAATTGCATCTCACCCAGCACCATCATTCGCTATCCAGCTGGCATCTACCGCAGTCATGTTAGACATCCAGCTTCGACCGATTAAAGACACGCTCTTCGATTCCATCACGCCACTCGTTCCCTCCGTTTGCTCGCCACTAGTTCTCACGTTTCTGGCCTTCTCCTCGGGTGTGATCTCCTGTATTTACGCTGCATCCAACAATACTTTAGCGAGCACCACATTCTGGGCACTGAACAGGGCACTGGACTGTCTCGACGGCGCTGTCGCCCGCGCACGCAACCAGTCTTCGGATCTTGGCGGCTTTTTCGACCTTTTGGGCGACTTCGTCGTCTATTCGACCATCCCTATATCCTGCGCTTTAGCGCGTAATGATGAGCCCGATGCAAAGAGCATCTGGCTCTCAGTGGCTGTTTTAGAAGCATCATTTCACGTCAACAACTTCGTCTTATTCTACATTGGCGCCATTCTCGAGAAGCGCAAGGGCAGCGGGAAAGATGGAAGCCGGGTTAAAGAGCTGACCAGCGTGGCAATGCGACCAGCACTTATCGAAGGGACGGAAAGCGCGGCTTTCTTCACAGCCATGCTCATCTGTCCTCGCTATCTGCAGCATCTCTCATGGACTATGGCCCTTTTAGTATGCTTAGGCATTGCTCAAAGGACAAGTTGGCTTGTACAGGCGCTAAGCTAAACGGTGTCGAATGGTACTCGCTACAGAGAAGGAGAGGCCGCTTTCTGCTGCATAACGCCCTTCTCTCGAAGCCTCGAGATGACACTTCGTGCATCGCCTTTACAAGCCGCAAGCTCCGAGTTGCTCATCACCTCTGAGAGACTACCATTGCTTCCGCTCGACACAATGGTCGGATAACGGATGTTGTTGGACTCGATGAAGTTCTTCACCTGCAAATGGTCAATACTTAGATCCCAGTACTCGGAAGGTTCCATCGTGACCACGAACCTCTTCTGACAGCTCATCTCTATGCCATTGCACGATGTGGTATCCAGACTCAGCCTCTATTGCTTTCTTCGCTTCTACCCAAGCTGGTGTTTCTTTCAATGATAATCCGCCATGTGTAATATCACCTGCGGGAATCAGCATACTTTGTCACATTATCAGACGGATTAATTCGCCGAGGGAAGCATACAGGCGGCACAAGCTGGATTCTCCTCTGAAGAATGGCAAATCTTTCGATAACCGTACCTCAATTTGCCCATGATAGATGCGTCGGCATTGTATAGGATGTAAAGTGTACGAGACATTCCTGAGACTCGCTATAACTGAGAACAAAGTGATGATGGTGTTTGCGGATCGGGCTCAACTCGGTGGCTGGGTTGAAGGGTCGATGACGTGCACACCGCACGGACCATGAGTGTCAGTCAGCCGAGGAGCGCCCAAGAAGCCACCGCAGCCATTTCATCGCCTCCCATCAATACGCTGTTTGCATGGCACTCCTATCGCCCTGAAAACCAACATTTCGCAATACCGAACCTCGAGAATGTCAACAGATCCAATCAGGTTCAATAAGGCCGTTTCAGCAGCGCATGCCACAACATCTTCTATCACTGCATTGTTGTTACTGCGATATTCGTCATGGCCGATACTCTCGTCACAAAGATCAGCCCCTCAAGATGC